AAAAAAAAAAAAAAGGTTGAGAATTTAGAGGGTTAATATGTTGTGGGGTTGTTAACCAATGTCATAAAACATGTGTACTACTGTTTCATGAGAAACTATTTGTTCTATAAGCCTTCACCTGAAGTACAATAAAATACAAAAAATTAAAAAATTAAAAAAAACAGTATATTTCAGGATATCAAAAACTCCCAATTTAAAAAAATACAATAGATTTAAACTGAGAAAATTATATTTCAATAATAGGTACTAAATCACGTGAAACAAAAGCAGAAGAAATAATTAAGACTTTCTTTTCACAAACTTCTGGAAGTTGTACAGGTTTTAGGGAAACTGCTGCTCAGCCATAACCCTCAAGAAATCCTTTTGTAAAATATATAAAACAATATTAATTCCTCGATACCACAGCCCCAACAGGAAACTTAAAATGAAGGCTACTATGAGTATGAACAAAAATATGTAACTAGCTACAATAGATGGATCCTGATAAGAGAGGAAAATGTGGAACAGAAGTCAAATTCTTCAAAAGTCCAGACTTACTGGACCAGTTGAGACTAGAGAACTCCCTGAGACTAGTGCCCTGAGATACTCTTTTAACCTTTAACCAAAACTAGCCCCATGAGGTTACCTTTTAGCTAAATAACAAACTGGCTTATAAAATAAAGAATATTACCAGTGAGTACTGTGCACCTTTAAAAAATCATCTATAGGACACCAAATGGTCAACCATTACTCTAAAGCAAAGATGAAAGGGTAAGGGGACAGGGAAACCAGATTACTGGAAGCAAAACATCCAGAAGGGAATCAATGAGAATGTTAAAACATTGTGAAAAATGTAACCAATGTCTCTGAACAATATGTGTAGTAATTGTTAAATGGGAATCTAACTTGCTATGTAAGCTTTCACCAAAAACATAATAAAATATTATTTAAAAAATAGATTTGTGTATGTAACTAATGATTAAGTTAAAAACAATTTATAATATATGGAAATATACAAGATGAAAGTAACAGTGGACTAAACAAAACAAATGAGGGTAGAGTTAAAACAAGGGCATCATTCAACTTCATGAGCTCTCACACTATGATGCATTAAAGTTGCATTTGTTGAAGGAGAATGAACAATGGCACACACATGAGTTGCACAATGTGACATGGACAACAGTTTGGTCAAAAGCCTTAGATATGCAGTTGTGAACTTGGACAATGTTCTCCTTAAAGGGAATGACCATTAGTATATTTCATCAATGCTGCCACACTGCCCTTGAGAGACTCTGGGACATGCCACAAAAACCAGAGTCACCTGGAACCACTTATCCATCAGGCTGTCCTGATACTTTCTGTCTCACCATCCTGGGACATGATGACCACTCTACTCAGTGGCTTAAGGGACATGTCTGTAAGTTACTGTTGTCAGCTCTCAAGTCAGCCCCCAATTCATGGTGACCCCATGTGTTACAGAATTGAAATGCTCCACAGGGTGTTCCTGGCTCTAATCTTAATGGAAGAAGTTTGTCAGTCCTTTCTTCCATGAAGCTGCTGGGTGGGTTCGAACCACCAACCACCCTTTGGGTTACCAGCCAATCACAAACAACAGGAAAATATCGTAACGTACTATCCAAGGTATCTCCTTCAAGAATTTTCTGTTACCCAGTAAACTCTATACATAGAAGAATCCATCAGAAGTTGTCCATCACTTAATGCGTGGGTCACAGAAGAAAAAGGATGAAATTTCAGACTGTAAGAATATATATTTCAAAACCAAGTTTCTAAGTCAAAATCACGCATGCTTGGGAGAACGCGAAATCAGAAAGACCAAGGTTTTTCTATGTTCCCAGACTAGGTACAGGGTCTGGAAGGCAGAGAAAATAAAAGATGATGAGAGTAAAGTAAACCAAAAAAAACAAACCCATTGCTGATGAGTTGATTCCAACTCATGGCAACCCCACATGCTTCAGAGTAGAACTGCTCCATAGGGTTTTCTTGGCAATAATCTTAGGGGAGCAGATCACCGGGCCTCTCTTCCATGGCACCACTGGGTAGACTTGAACTGCCAACACCTCAGGTTGCACTACCCAGAAGGTAACATAAGGGGGTCAGATTTTGAGGGATCTTGTGAAGACACCTTTTGCTCTGTCCACAGACTCCAGGTTAAACACCTAAAGACTGGAATATACTCTCCTCATGTAGCAAAGGGGATCAAACAAAGGATCTCTCTATCCACTTCCTTTACAGTACTTCTAAGTAATCTCAAAAGATCCACCTCATAGCCTTTTTACAAATGTGGCAAAAGTAGAATGGAAAAAATGACTGAGAAGCCTGTGCTCGAGACAGCCCCAGGTAGTTTCCTGGGACCCCAGATGAATGGAAGAACAGCCAAAGTTTTCCCATCTCTGGACAAGTTCTCTCAAGGATGTAAAATGTGAATGGAAACTGGATAGATCCTGGGGTCTGGACTACAGAAGCCTCTGGTCTGATCTATATGGACTGAGAACTGAGCATCAGACAGAATAAAGTACAGAAGGAGAAACCAAGGGGAGAAACAGGACTTCTTAGAAAGAGCCCCGCTGGTGTCACTCTCAAAGCCAATGGACCAAAGAGGACATAAAACTAGTTGCCGTCGAGTCAATCCTGACTCACGGCGACCCCACATGGATCAGAATAAAACTGTGGACCATCGGGTTTTCAATGGCTGATTTTTCAGAAGTAGATTGCCAGACCCTTCTTCTAAGGTGATTAAAGCACTTGACTGCTAACCAAAAGGTAAGCGGTTCACTCTGTGGGAGAAATATGTGGCAGTCTGCTTCCGTAAAGATTTACAGTCTTGAAAACCCTACGAGGCAGTTCTACTCTGTCCTATATGGTCATTATGAGCTGGAATCAACTCAACAGCAGTGGGTTTGGTTTTGGGGTTTTAAATTATAGAAAAGGTCCCTGGGTGGTGCAAACAACTTGCGCTTGACTACTAACCTAAAAGTTGTCAGTTCAAACCACCCAGCAGCACCAAGGAAGAAAGGCTTGGCAATCTGCTTCCATAAAAATTACAGCCAAGAAAACCTTATGGAAAACTCCACAGTTGTACTACGCAGCCCAGTCTCTCTTTCTCATTCCAAAACAGAGATAATATTCAGATCAGAAAGAAAGAAAAAAAGGACTATGATATGCCGTACCTTTTCCGGAATACAATTCCAGCCATTTATTCAGCTAAGAAGGAGCCCTGGTGGTGCAGTGGTTAAGCGCTGAGCTGCGAACTGAAAGGTTGGCAGTTTGATTCCACCAGCCGCTCCACAGGAGAAAGATGTGGCAATCTACTCCCATAAAGATTACAGCCTTGGAAACCCTATGGGGCAGTTCTACTCTGTCCTGTACAGTCACTACGAGTTGGAATCAACTCAATGGCAACAGGCTTGGTTTTTTATTCAGCTAAGAAGAGATAACATTATAGATGGGTCTAGAAAAATATCTCACAAATCCACCGACTGACTGCCTCCTTCGGAATGGTTAGGATATATTTTACCTACACAGGTATCTATTTCTCTTCCAAAAATAACTGAATCAAAAGCACGGGGGGTACACCAGAGAATTGGATATTTAAAAATTTCTCATGAGGTTTTGTGCATATTCATGTTACAGAACCACCACTCATCTAGCATGTAACGTATAGGGCATCTAAAGAAATGGGAAGGTCTAAGTCCATATGCACATTATGAAACTTTTCCTTTCTGAATCAACACAGCTTCAATCATTGCCTTAAGAACGGGGATATGAAACTCAGTTAAGTACAGCAGGGGATCCCAAGAGTCAATGCAACACAAAGATAATAATTTATGGAAGGAACTTATGCTCACCCAGGGAGACCAGGTTCCTGTAGTTCTCCAACATCACGTCCCTGTACAAAGCCCTCTGAGCAGGGTCCAGGCATTCCCACTCCTCCTGAGAGAATTCTATGGCCACATCCCTGAACGTCAACAGTCCCTGCAATGAAAAACACATTTTACTGAGGGGCAACTGGGGAGAGTCCTTCTTTTCACAAAAAGTGAGAGGAGGAGAGGAGCAGCAATTATTCTGAGAAACCCTCAGACATCTACAGAGAAGGCGGTGTGCTCAAAGGCAGCCACTGCAGCGTTCTTTATCACAGTGAAAAACTGTGTAAGTCCCACTTGCCTTCACTGTGAGAAGGCTCTAATGAGGATCGAAAAGAGCAAGCCAGCTCTACGTTTGTTGTTGTGTGCCATCATGTCAAGTTAATTGTCTCATAGTGTGGACTCCATGTGACAGAGCAGAACTGGATCATAGGGTTTTCTAGGCTGTGATCTTTATGGGAAAAGAAGCCCTGGTGGCACAAGTGGTTAAGTGCTTGGCTGCTAACTCAGAAGGCTGGTGGTTCAAACCCACCAGCCACTCTGCAGGAGAAAGATGTGACAGTCTCCTTCTGTAAAGAGTTACAGCCTCGGAAACCCAGTGCAGCATTCTGCTCTGTCCTACGGGATCGCTATGAGTCGCAATGGACTCGGCAACGGGTTCAGTGTTTAATCTTTAGGGTAGCAGATCTCCAGGTCTTTCTCCCTAAGAGCCATTAGGTGGGTTTCAACCACTAACCTTTTGGTTAGCAGCCAAGCACTTAACCACTGCACTACCAGGGCTCCTCATGTGTATATTACCACAATAAAAAAAGAAAATAGATTAAAGATTGCCACATCTAAACACTTCTATACGTGTGATGTGAATTAAACATCTGCCTTACTGCAGCAAACAATCCCTGTAGGAAGGATTGTTGTTGTGTGTGTGCCGACGAGTCGATTCAGATTCATAATGACCCTATCAAATAGAGTGGAACTGCCCAGTAAGGTTTTCTAGGCTGTAATCTTCATGGAATCAGACTGCCACATCATTCTCTCATGGAGCAGCTGGTGGGTTCAAACCGCTGACCTTCCAGTTAGTGGCTGAGTGCTTTAACCACTGTGCCACCAGGCCTCCTGCTCTATTTTACTAACACGAAAACAACTCCAAGACACATGGGATGTAAAACTTCAGGAGAGTTGAGGCATAAGATATCACAGGAAAATATTCAATGAAGGATTTTTTTTCTAAAATCATTAATGATGTATTTTAACAAGACTTGCAGTAACTCTTGCCTCAGAACTGACAACAGTGGTTCCGGACAGTGAGTGACGGTGGAGGACATGACTGGCAAGAGGACGTTTCACTTCTTTGTCCCTATGCTGCGTCATTGTTTAGAGTTTTACCACAAAACAAACACAGTGAAACCTGTGAGAGCCAGAAATCGACGCGACTGCCTTGTTCTTTCAGGTTTCAAAAGTTTTCTGCCTTTGACAGGGTGCAGTCTTACCACTTTTCTATTGCTCTCTATTAGCAGAAAATATTTGAGTTTTCCTTCTCTAACACATCTCCACCTTACATGGGTTCTGGCTTTCGCAGGTTTTTACTGTACATCCACCATGTGATGTTTAAAATAAAACTAATATTTAACAATTAGTGGAGCCAGAATTTGGCTCCAGCCTCTCTGATGACAAAGATAACTCTGCCCCTACATCTTGGCTGAATTATAACCATTTTTACCAAAAACACCTGCTGCAGTAAAGTCCCCAAGTAAGCATCATGATCTCCGTGGGACGGATGTGCTGTGAGGGATTTAGAGAACCTCCTACTGTTAGATACAGGAGCCCTGGTGGTGCAGTGGTTAAGCACTTGGCTGCAGTTTGAACCTACCAACTGCTCCACAGGAGAAAGATGTGGCTGTCTGCTTCTGTAAAGATTGCAGCCTTGGAAACCCTATGGGGCAGTTTCACTCTGTCCTACGGGGTCACCGTGAGTCGGAATCGACTGGACGGCAGTGGTGAGATTACATAAAGGGAGTTATACAGCACTGACTCAGCAATACCTGGCTGGTACAAATGGTTATGTGCTGAACTACTAGCTGAAAAGCTGACGGTTCAAACCCACCCAGATGCGCCACAGAGACAGGCCTGACAATCTGCTTCAGACTACGAAGATTGACTCTTTGTGTTTGGATTATTTCATTCCATATTTTGTTTGTCCACTTATCTGTATCTGCATATCGTTGTGGATCATATATCACCATTGCTATATAGGATTCCATTGTGTGACTATCAAAACAATTTAATCATTTCACTCTTAATAGGCATATGGGTAGTTTTTAGTTTGGCGCTACCATGCGTGATAATCATATGCACAATCTAGAAACTTGTGTTTTTGTAATACCTATATGAATTTCTGTTACCATGTATGTATGGTGGGAGAAAGATGTGGCAAGCTGTTTCTGTAAAAATTACAGCCTTGGAAACCTTCTGGGGCAGTTCAACTCTGTCCTATAGCGTCACAAGGAGTCAGAATTGACCCAGTGCAAAGAGTTTGGCTTTGGTTGCTTTTACTGTTACACAATTAGGTGGGCTCCATATTTTAAAACCAATAAATCCCAAATGTCTGTTTCTAAACTATTGTACTCCAAGCCATTAATATTTTGGAGCCAGAAACACACCAATTCACTTATTTAGTCTCAAAAGCAGCGCAGTCTCCTTTTCTAGAATTTTCAGCTGTTCCACATATTAACATAGCACATGTCATGGACTGAATTATGTCCCCCCCAAAAAACGTGTGTATCAATTTGGCTGGGCCATGATTCCCGGTATTGTGTGATTTTTCCTATATGTTGTAAATGTTGCCTCTACGATGTTAATGATGGAGGATGGGAGGCAGTTGTGTTAGTAAAGCAAGACTCAATCTACAAGACTGGATTGTATCCTGAGGCAATCTCTTGAGACACAAAAAAGAGAAGCGAATAAAGAGATGGGGGTGGGAGGAGTGGGGGGGGTGTGTGGTGTACGCCTCATACCACCAAGAAAGCAGTGCTGGGAGCAGTGTCCTTTGGACTAGGGGTCCCTGCGCAGAGAAGCTCCTAGTCTGGAGGAAGATGGACGAGAAAGCCAACAGAGAGAGAAGGCCTTCCCCTGTAGCTGATGCACTGGATTTGAACTTTTAGCCTACTAGACTGTAAGAGAATAAATTTCTCTTTGTTAAAGCCATCCACTTGTGGTATTTCTGTTACGGCAACACTAGATAACTAAGACAGCACATAAATGTGCAGTTGCTTTAATGCTGTTCCACAGAGAGCTGACAGGGCATACAGAGTGGCCCCTAAACCCTCCCTGCTGCCCACCGTCACTGCCCCCACAGGGCCCACTCCCTGTCTCCCACCCAGACCTGATGTGAAGCCCTTCCCATGATGCCCCCCAGATGGAGACTCTTCACAAGTCCCATGTCCCTGGGTCACCATGAGATGGAATCTGTGTGGAGGTGAGAGGGGACTGAGGTCAGGCCCTCGGTGAGTGTGAGCCAACGTGTTGGGGAGGGCACATCAGGGTCAGAGAAGACAAGCAAATTGTCAGGATAGCATTTCGGGAAGGAGAGGACAAAGCCACCAACTGGGAATAAGACCGTTACCTGGGAAAGAGCCATTCTGGATGCCTCTTTTTTTCTTCTTCCTCCAGGCTTCATTCTCAGGCAAGATCAGTCTTGAGAAGTCAACACTGAGTGTGGAAAATATGCTGTTAAATGGTACAGTCAGCACACCCCCTTCCTGTGCCACAACCACACATACAGGGAGGCCCTCACTATGGGGAAAGACGGTCCCTGCTGCCACTGCCCCAGGAGGGACTCAGAGGCAATAACCTCCTACATGGAGACCAACAGGTGAGTTTATCACCCTCCCCTCCTGGTGAAGCGCACACTCTGTTGCAGCAGGGGGATCTGGGCTGGACTGACCCTCCTCTTCAGGTCATAGACTGGCCCTGACACCATACCCTATGCACATCAGAGTCCCTTCAGCTCCTCCTGGAAGTGGGGCTGGTTGCACCCTCAGAAATGGATGACCCAGAGTCTTGGTGCTAAATGCTGGATGCAGATTAGAATTACCTGAGGTATTTTAACCGTTCTGGAAACCAGGCCCTACCCTGACTATTTTAGAGGAATCTCTTGGGGGAAAAAAAGAAAACCAAACTGGTTGCCATCGAGTCAATTCGGACTCATAGCGACCCTACGGGACAGAGAAGAACTGCCCCATAGTGTTTCCTACGCTGTAATCTTTATGAAAACAGAACGTTACATCTTTCTCCCTCAGAAAAGCTGGGTGGGGGTCGAACAGCTGAGCACTTAACCACTGCACCACCGAGGCTCTTTATCTCTTGGGGAGAGAGGGGGAATAAGGGATGCATTTGCAAAATGCCTCGGCAATCTAGTGTATAGCCAGGACTAAGTCAGTTCAGAGGAGCCAGGCCCAGCACACCTCCCTCCTTGTGGCTCTGCTCCCCACTGGGGCCATACTGTCACCTGGATCCAAACAGTGGAAGAAGCAAGGGCAGAGAGAAATGTGCAGAGCAGGCATTATGGGCCAGAGGTAGAGGTGAAGTGTGGCTGGAATGTTAAATGGGGGTCAGAGAAGGCTCCACTGAGAAGGTGGTATCAAGATGGGAGGAAAAAGGGTGTTTGCTGGGTGCATCTGAGGGGCTAGAGAATTCTAGCCCAGGGAAAGGAAAGAGGGTGACCAGCAATTGACTGAGCTAAGTCACTGGCCTTTAGGCTAAATAGGAGGTGCAAATGGAACTTACCTTCTGATGCAAATCACTGGAAAATGCATAAGCCTCACACACCTAGGTTTGTAATTCTCATTCACTTCTGTATAAACAATTTAACAAAACCTAAGTTAGTTATAAAACCACAAGAGCCCTTTGGTGCCAGAAACAGTTACCACACTCAGCCGCTAATGGAAAGGTTGGAGGTTCGAGTCCACCCAGAAGCATATCGGAAGAAAAGCCTGGTGACCTACTTCCAAAAAATAAGCCATTGAAAACTCTTCTGGGGCACAGTTCTACTCTGACATATATAAGGGCACCAGGAGTTGGTATCATCTCCACAGCAACTGGTTTTGTTACTTCTCCCTCATGCTTCTTTTCTCCCCTCAGTTTCTCTCCTTTCGGTGTTTCTGTCTCTGCCCCACACCTCTCCCAGCCCCCTCTGATCCAGGCTTGCTTGGCACACCCCATAGCTTTACATTAGAATCCTGGTTCCTTTGCTTGATATAACAGATGTCCTGTATATCAAGGAAAGGAGCCCTGGTGGTGCAGTGGTTAAGTGCTCGGCTGCTAACCGAAACGTTGGCAGTTCAAACCCACTAGCTGCTCCACAGGAGAAAGATGTGACAGTCTGTTTCCGTAGAGGTTACAGCGTTGGAAACCCTATGGGGCAGCTCTACTCTGTCCTATAGGGTTGCTTTGAGTCAGAATCGACTCGATGCCAACGAGTTTGGGTTTTTTTGTTTTGTATACCAAGGAAAAAGCCCTGGTGGTGAAGCAGTTAAGCACTAGGCTGCTAACTGCATAAGGTCAGCAGTTCAATTGCACCAGCAGCTCCACTTCCGTAAAAACTACAGCCTTGGAAACCCTATAGAGCAGTTCTACTTTGTCTTATAGGGTCGATATGAGTCGGAATCGACTCAACGGCAACAGGTTTGGTTTTTGGGTTTGGTGTACCCAGGACCATGAAGATGCCACAGGACCAGGAAACTTTACGTTCTGTTGTTGTACATAAGGTCACCAGAGTCCGGAGCCCAACCCAAGGCAATAAAAACTGCCCAGGAAGAACACTTTCCAGTGGGACATTAGGGATGTAAACACACCAGGACAAGCACAGCCAGTGGGGCACAATTTGTATAGAAGAAACAGGGAGTGTCTACGAATATGTGCAGGTCACCTTCCCCAGCACAGGATGAGGTGGGGGTGAAGGGTTTTAGGGCCTTCCCCAGGTGGTCACTGCGAAGGGGCAGACAGTGGGAGAGTAGGGAAGGGAAGAGCAGGGCAAATCGAGAGGACGTGAGGATGAGGGTGGGGGGCTGCAGAACCCCAGGGCCAGGGAGTGGGCAAGGGCTAGGGGCCGATGGTGCTAAGACAGAGGTCCCCAGGATGCGGAAAATTCCACTGCCTCAAGGAGTTCGCTTGGCATGCCCAGTAGCTTTACATTAGAATCCTGGTTCCTTTGCTTGGCATGTCCCATAACTTTGGATTAGAATCCTGGTTCCTTTGCTTGGCATGCCCCGTAACTTTACATTAAAATCCTGGTTCCCCTCTCCTTAACTGCTACCCCAAAACTAGTTTAGGCGCCATGTTGACATTGAGGATAACCTTTTAGCTCATTTAAATACCCATGCAGAGTAACCTCCCGCCTCTGGATGGAGTTTAACCACCATTTTCTGAACATACGCTGCATGAAGTTATATATAAACCCCATTCAAGAATGTTGCCGATGTAACTAGTATGAACTTCCTACCTGTAAACCCCTTAAAAGTAACCTTTCGACCTCGCTGAGCAGTCTTGGCGGCAGGAGACCCGACTGCTCCCTTCCTTTCGCAATGAAATAAAGGCGCCTTTCTACTCTCCCACCTAGGCCTCCCGTTTATTGACTGAGACCACTTGTGCCGAGCAGAACCTGAAGTTTCTACCTGGCAACAGAGCGAAGCTGGAGCGGGGAAGGCAAAGGAGTTGGACCTATCTCCCGAGGGAGAACTTTACCCTGGCGGCGTTGGGAGAGGATGCGGAGATCAGTGAAGGGTTTTAAGCAGGAAAATGACGCGGCAGGCCATGTCTACAAGATTCCAAGGCCGAAAGGCCGGGGATGGGGACGGGCCTCAGCGCGATTTTGACCGGGATGGGACCCCGGGACCCGCCAGTGGAGCGATCAGGCTCCGAACGTCTCCGGGAGACACCGAGACTCACCGCGAGACAAGCGGAAATGGGGGCTTTAACGACCGGAGCGGCCATCAGACCCCAAGTATACAGGGTCAGGGCCTGGGGTAACGCGAGGTTCAGGTCTGAGCCAGAAATAAAACGAAAAGTCACTCACCAAGTGCGGCCCTTACTTGGCTCGATTCGCTTCCGGGTATGCGCGGAGGGCCTACGCGGGAGAGGGGTGGGGCCTGGGAGGGCGAGGGGTGGGGCCTGGGAGGGCGAGGGGTGGGGCCTGGGAGGGCGAGGGGCGGGCCTGGGACCGTGACCAGAATTGCGTTTGCATCCACTACACAGACAACTCCCACTCTTGCTTCATTAAATAAGTTCTAATTGCTCGGGTTAGACGTTCCCGGGTCCCACCCCCGCCCCAGACCGACATCCCCCCACCCCACCGAGGTCCCAGCCCCCAGTTTGCGCGCCCCCTCTCTCGCGGGACCCACATCTCTACCCGCTCGCAAAAAGAGCTTTGACTTGAACGGTTTCAGTTTAAGAGGAAAACATCTCAGCTTACAACAGGTGACCCGCACCACTCTAATCTTTTACCTTAAACTGTTTGAAACATTAACTTAAAACAGGGAGGAAACAGCCCTGCTGCACAGGACACCAAAGAGATTCAGATGAATTCAAAAGCAGAGAATCGCGGACTGTCAGGACACAGACCAGGAAACGCCGAGGGGCGGGGCGTGGGAAACCCGGGCCCCGCTCAGGACCCGCCCCTTCGCCAGTCCCGCCCCGCCTTCTCTTGTTCTCCGCCCAGGCTTGGCCGCTCTCCTCACCCTGCCGTTTTACCACTGTCGCCACGCTCAGGTCCCGCTCCTTTACCGTTCCTGCCCCACTTTCTCACGATTCCTGCCCAGGCCTGGCCACTCTCCAAGCCTCGTCCCTTGCCGGTTGGCCCCGCCCATGTCCTGCCACACGCTGCCGCGTCTTTTTCCGCCGCGGGCCTGCGCAGTTTACTGAAGACGCGGAAGCGGATTGCGCGGAGCGAAGGTCATACTGAGGTAGGTTTTCGTCTTTCTGGTTTAAAACTTTCGGTGCGTGGTCCCGGTACTCCACCCCTGGGGCCGGGGGTCGCTCCAGACGTTAAAGTCTCCATACTCTTTCCACCCCCAGGGATCCCAGCGCAGCCGTGAGACATTACAAGCCTTGATGGCTTCGCCTCCGGCCGGGGATCCGCGTCAGTTTCGGTGTAAAATCGTGCTGAGGCTGGTCCCCGCCCCGGCCTTTCTGCCCTCGGGTAGTTCAGACGCCGCCTGCCGCGTCGTTACCCTGCTTAAAACCCTTCCCTGACCCCCGCCCGCCCTACGCCTGGTCATGTCCTCACCGGGAGACGGATTGGCGGCCTTCTCTCCCCGCAGTCTCTCCCATCGAGGGCAGCGCTGGCTGCTGCGTCTTCTACCTGTGGGACTCTCCAATCGTCGCCTTCTCCCGAGACCCCGGGCACCACCATCTTTGCGTCCTCCTCACACCGACTCCTGCTGCTCTCCCACCCTCCCGCGACATCCGTTACCTCCATGTTGGGAGAGGGGATCCAGGTCTGTCTGGTGACACGCCGCGTTCTCTCCCTGGTCCTGGGACTCTGAGACCCCGGGCAGCGGGCATTTCATTCCATCTCTGTCCGCGTGTGGGCGAGGGGATCGAGAGAAGAGAGAGAGCAACTGCTGGAGAAAGAAATACTGAGAGAAAAGAAGACTGAGAGAGAGCCATGAACAAATGACAGAATAGAGGGTGGAGAGGGATTTGCAAAAACAGTTTACTAGTGAAAGAGAATATGCCGATAAAGTTGCAGGGAGAAAAGAAAATAGAAAAATGTGGAGAAAGAGGGTATCTTCAGAGAGTGAAGGGGAGCAAAATAGGGAGGAGGTCCTTTAGTTAGCAGTAGGAGTGAGGGCGATGGGGATGGGAAGCACTTCGAACAGAAAGTTAGGGGGAGAAGATGAAATAGTTGGAGTCGTGGCAGACAGAGTGACTTGACAAGGGGTGACGGAGATCAGACGGAGAAATGAGGGAGGGAACTCAGCAAGCTGGGGGTGCCAGAGAGTGAGGGCAGAGGGGGAACAGAAATGAGGGCAGAAGGGAGCATAAATATATAGAGACGGTCAATCATAGATTGGGGAAGAGCAACAAGAGGTGAAACAGGGCAGGAGTGGAGCTGAACAGGTGTAGGAAAAGTAGAGAGAGGGGAGAAACAGCAGGAGAGGAGATAGTGGAGAACAAAATGAGGGGAAGAAACGGGGAGAGGAACAGGAATGGAGAGTAAAAAGGAAGGAGACATAAAAGACAGAGTGAGAGAGGGAGACACATAGTCATGCAGAAAGAGGGGGACTCAGATCCAGAGGAGAGGGCAGTTGATGGGATATGGATGATTAAGTTGTGACATGCTGATTTCTGACTTTAGTTTCTAATCAATTTAAAATTTCTTTGAAGTATACAGATGAGAATGAGAATTGCAAAACCCCCTATCTATAAGGCTTGTGTACTTTATGATTGTTAGTCTCAGAAGATAACTCCATCACAACGCCTATTCAGCAGGACTTCAGTGACTTGTCACAGTTAATTTTGGGTCACCTTCTGCTCTTTTCCTGGGATAGGTAGGTGAGGGGAAGAAAAGGGACAAGAAATTACTGACTTTCTAAGTTTCCTAGTGCTGCTGTAACAAATACCCCAATAAAAAGGAGATGAGGGGGCTCTGCTCTGCATGGGGTGTGGTGTCAGGGCTGGGTCTGTGACCTGAAGGGGAAGGTCAGTCCAGCCCTGATGCCACTGCCTCAGTGGACTGTGGGCTTCACCAGGAGGGGAGGGTGATAAACTCACCTGTTGGTCTCCATGTAGGAGGTTATTGTCCCTGAGTCCCTTCTGGGGCAGTGGGCAGCAGGGACCATCTTTCCCCATGGTGAGGTCCTTCCTGTGTGTGTGGTTGTGGCACAGGAAGGGGGTGTGCTGACTGTAAGCATTTAACAGCATATTTTCCACACTCAGCTTTGACTTCTCAAGACTGATCTTGCCTGAGAATGAAGCCTGGAGGAGGAGGGAAAAAAGAGGCATCCGGAATAGCTTTTTCCCAGGTAACAGTCATTTTCTTGATTGGCGGCTCTGTCCTCTCCTTTCTGAAATGCTGTTCTGACAATTTGCTCGTCTCTTCTGACTCTTGACGTATCCTGCCTGACACTTTTCTCTCGCACTTACCCAGGGCTTTCCTCGGTCCCCTCTTACCTCCACGCAAATTCCATCTCACAGTACCCTAGTGACATGGGACTTGTGAAGAGGCTCCGTTTGTGGGGCATCATGCAAAGGGCATCACACCAGGCCTGGGTGGGAGACAGGGAGTGGGCCCTGTGGGGGCAGTGAGGTGGGCAACAGGGAAGGTTTAGGGGCCACATCTGGATGCCCTGTCAGTTCTGTGTGGGACCATCATGGAGGAAGCTGCCCGTGGAAGGGATATGCTACTGTGCACAGATGCTGGAAAATTCTGGAAAGGGAGACTGATAAGGGGAACCTGCTCTGCCTGATTTTATAATGCATTCAAAGCTAAACAAGTGAATCAGTGTGTTTCTGGCTGCAAAATATTAATGCCCTGGAATGGGATGGAAAGTTCAGAAACAGGTATCAGTGAAAGAGGATGTCTTATTTTATCATTGGTTTTAAAATACGGAATGAACCTAAATGTTGAACAGTAGGAGCTTCTTTAAATCACTCACAGCACATCATCCCTTGGAGACTGCGTGTTTGTGCAGGGACGTTTTAGGCAGAAATAGTATAATTCAGCCAAGGCATAGGAGCAGAATTTTCTTTGTCATCAGAGAGGGAGGAGCCAAATTCTGGTGCTACCACTGTTAAATGTTTTATTTTAAACGTCACTTGATGGATGTTTGTTTTGTGGCCAGACTCCACATAGTAAGGTCTAAGAAGTAAAACTTTCCCTTCCCATCACTCACCGCCTCCATCTGCAACCACTGTTGTGGTTCTGTGTCAGGAGTCAGTACAGGTCTTGGTAAAATGCATTTATGCATCGTTATATAATTTTAGAAAAATTTCTTCAGTGAATGTTTTGCTGTCGTATTTTATTCTTCAACTTTTGAAAATTTACGCCGTCCTGGAGTTGTTTTCATATTAGTAGACATAAAGTTAGCTTGGTCTTTTAGATCCTCATTAGAGCACTCTTGTAATGAAAACACATGGGGCCTTTACAGTTTTTCACTGTGAAAAAGAATGGTTGCTTGTGAGCACACCAACTTCTCTGCACATGTCTGAGTGTTCCTCCAAGTTGCGCAACTTGAAGAGTGATTGTGACTTCAAGGATGGTGCATTTTACATTTTGATAGATTGTGGCAAGCTGCCCCTCTTCGACCCCCAAAGCTGCAAAAATACCTTTTCCCACCAACAACATGTGAGATATCCCCCATGGTTTAAGTAAAACTTGGGACTATATTCTTTTATGTTTGGAAAATCTGGGAGAAAAATGTATTTCCATTTTCCAACTACTTGTAAGTCTGAGTACAGTTCATTATTTTTTGGACATGTACACATACAATGGATTTTCATACTTTGCTTGGTTTTCTTTTAATGTATTTTAGGAACTATTCTGCAGTCCGTACTTTAATTCTTTATATATGTTCTGGTGTCTGATTTAATAATGAAACAAATATTTCCTTCATATCCCGTTTTTTATCTTGCTTTGGAAGGCTTGACCTAGTTCATGATTACAAAATATTATAGCTCCATTTAGTTTTAATGTTTAATATTCCTTATGTCTCTAAGTTTGATTTTTGCATATACTTCTTGTAGCTATTTTGTTTTATTTTAAAGTTTTATATAATAAAATGATAGATTTATATGTAGTTTGACAAGCTCCTTCATTTTGTGCTTCTATTCAAAATTATGTTGATTCTCCTTCAACATTGCAGATTTTTTGTTTTAAATCTCACGTTTCTTTTGTTTGATTTGCTCTGCATTTCTGCAGTCCCTGGCGTCTTTATGGCACCACATGGTCCAAAAAGAATCAGGTTTGTTAGCCTTTGATCATGTCTTTGAACTGTCCTTCAGTAAAGTTTTGTAATTTCCTAACGTAGGTCTGAAAATAGTCTTGCAAATAGGTGTCAAGGTGTATTTGCTAATGGAAAGGCAAGCTGTATCTTTTTTGTGTATGAGTTTTTTAGTTACTGCTACTAATGAAGAAAAATTGTTTTTAGTATAAGTTCTTATAGTTCAAATAGATTCTTTTTCTAGATTATAAGGTTGTAATCATGTCATCTGTGAATTATGGCAGGTCCAGCTTTGATTTTTTTTCCCCTTCCTTTTGCCTCTTCCTTTGGCCCTGGCTCAGGCATCCCTTGTAGTGGTGAATGGGAGGAGCCCTGGCCAGTCCCCTACTCTCAGCCTTTCCATTAGTGGAAAGCTTCCAGTGCTTTCTGCTGATCATGATGTTTGTTTTGGTTTTCTTGCTGAATGACAGTTTTGTTTTGTTTTCCAGATTTCCTATTCAGAATGATTCTTATTATCCAATAATTTCTTCAAAGAGTTATTCCTTAAATCTTTTTTTCTATTTTAATCTGTTAAATTAATACATACAAGTAATGAATTTTCTAATCTTGAATCGTTGTTTTATTAGTGGAAGAAGTTCAGCTTGTGTTTTGTGAATAACTAAATATTTAAATTTAAACGGATAAAATTGTATTTAAACTTTTACATATATGTATTTGATGGAGATTGGAGTTAAAGTTTTTGATATATTTTTTAATTTTTGTATAGTTTTTTTAACTAACCCAATATAGAACAGTGATGGCAGACTAAATAGTATGATTTACACATTTTCATTATACCAGATATGCTGAAATGCACATGAGCAAAAATAGTGAAAAATTACCCCAAAAATACATCATTCAGAGATAACTACTCTTATTTCAGTTAAGTGTATTAAAATATGTATATATGCATGTGCACAAATATTTACAAGACTGTGGTTTTTATAAAATACATACTAGCATTTCATAAATTAGTTTATTTTCTAACAGTTGAAAATATATGTTAAATATTTTCTATAACCTTAATTTTTGTCAACACTGTGATGTCAGTGTGGGTACTAAAAGTAACAATGAGGTAGTAGTAGTAACAATAATAACAAACGATATATATTTGTCTGTTTGCACATCCATAATGACCTTTTATCCAGTTCCATGTTGTTGGGCTTAAACTTGTTTTAAGTTTTCTCAGTTTGAAAATAGTTTGCAACGTACTTTTAATGCTGTATCTGTTACTTAACTGTTTGGTTTTTTTTAGGTTCCGTTCTAAAACATGACCACATGGGTTCAGGTGCTAGATCTGTCACTTATTAGCTGTTTGAGTGTCTTACAGTGTCTGTGATACAGTTGTCTCCTGTGTAAGGTGGGAACAGATCTTTATCTATTGGGCTATTATGTCATTATATGATTTAATACATATAAAGCATTTAGAGTAAAGCCTAGCACATTCGTGCTTAAAAATTTTTAGTCATTTCTATTGTTAGCATCATCACAATTTTTTGATTCTGACCATTCTTTAAAGCCACGATGGACTTTGTCATCCCTGAAAACACCATTTTTGCTGTAGCTCATTTGAGAAACTCACTACCGCTTGCTGTACAGATGTAACATCTAACAAGTCTATACAGATGACACTGTGTTGATGTTTTTTTATTTGTGTATTTCTTCTATTGTCCATAAAAATATGGAATCCACGATGATTAGTGGATTTCATATCCTTCTTGGAAAAGCATGATAAAACAAAATTAGGGACATACAACTTGCTCAGAATTTTCTTACATGGATCTGTCAGAATGCTCACATCAATTGAATTGATCATTATGTCTCTGTTCTCTCGTTTTGCATGAAAATTAGAATTCTCTCCGTATTCACTTAGTGAGATATGTTTTTCATTGCAGGGACTGTTAACATTCAAGGATGTGGCCATAGAATTCTCTCAGGAGGAGTGGCAATCCCTGGACTCTGCTCAGAAGGCTTTGTACAGGGACGTGATGTTGGAGAACTACAGGAACTTGGTCTCCCTGGGTGAGCATAACTTCCCTCCAGAAGTTGGGATCTGCCCTTGGGTATCTTTGCATTTTCCTCTGGGAGTCTCTCAGAAGCCTCTGCCTTGTTAGAGTTTCAAATCCCTTTTCTTAACAGAGAGACTGAAGTTCATTCAGAAATGAAAAGCTTCATAATGCAGCATCTGGGCTTTCACCTTCCTGTTTCTTCAGATGATCTGCCCTTTTCATGCTACATCAGTGGTGATTCCAAAGCTTGAGTACCATAAAACCTTACAGCAGACTTTTTAAATGTCTGATTATCTGGTTTTACCCCTGTGCTTTTCATTCAGTATGCCTTGGAAGAGAGCTAGGTGTCTACACAGGCATTTTGAAAGACACAGTCCATGGACAAATTTGTGAAATAATTTTCTAGATCCATCTGTAATGTCCTTTCTTTCGGCTGAACAAAGTTCTTGGATTCATCTGGAAAAGCTGTAGCACATCACATTCCTTTTTTCTTATAATCAAGCATCTCTCTTTCTGACTTAGTATTATCTCCGTTTTGGAGCAAGGGAAAGAGCTCTGGGCCGTGGAGATGAAAATAGCCCCAAAAAAAGAAAAAAAAAAAAAACAAAAAACAGATGGGCAGGAATGTATCAAAGGTATAAACACAGGTAGGAGCACAAGTGGGCAGAGATGAAACTGATCCATTAAATAATCTTTGGGAAACTCCCCAAATGGGAGAGATGAGAGGGGCAGGGAGGGCTGTTTCCAAGGGGTCCTTTTGTGCCTTTGTTTCTCCTTCTGTACATGATTTCATCTGATCTTCAGTTCTCAAGTCATACAGCCCAGAATGAGGCCTCCATAGTCCTGATCCCAGGACATATCCAGAATCCATTCCCATTTTGCCTGCTTAGGAGACCTTCTCAGAAGATGGGAAAACATTAACTGCTCTTCTGTTGCACCTGGGGCCCCAAGAATTGAAATGGGCTTTCTCAAACACTCTCAGGCATTTCTTCAGTTCTGCTGTTCCAAACTTCAGGAGTGTGTGTAACAGGACAGTGGGTTGGATCACCTGAGATTGTTACTCAGCAGTACTGTAAAGACAGTGGGCAGAGAGATCTTCTCTTTGAACCCTAGTCCTACGTAGGGACCATATCTCTGTCCTTTGAGAGCAGAACAAGAACCCCACACAATCTTATCCTGTTCCTCACTGATCTGGGTGAACTACAGTTATCTCCTACCATATTAATTTTGACCCCTTGGGCACCATAGTTCCACATGACCTTTCCCACTCTAAATGCACACATTGTAAGGTGAACCTCTTCCCCTCCCCCTGTCATTGACAGAGTGGCTTGCTCAGGACAACACCATAGTCTCGATACCATCTAATACAACGTTTGTAGGGAGTGATGACACATCCAAGAGAAATGGCTGATTAATAGTATTAGTGACATAAGGAGCCTTGGTGGCACAGTGGTTAAGCACTTGCTGCTAACCAAAAGGTCGGTGGTTCAAACACACCTAGCAGCTCAACTGGAGAAAAGACCTAGCGATCTGCTTCTGTAAAGATTACAGACTAGAGGAGCCGGGGCCAAGATGGCAGAGTACTCAGATGCTTCCTGTGGTCCCTCTTACAACAAAGACCAAAAAAAACAAGTGAATCAATTATATATGACAGTCTAAGAGCCCTGAACATCAAAGGCAAAGTTGAGGAATCAGACTGAGTGGCAGGGAGGGAGAGATGGTTCAGAAGCGGCGAGGAGATGCCAGACCTCATCCAGCGGTAACCAGCACCCTGCAGGCTGGATCAGTTGGTGCATGCGTGATGAGGCAAGCAGTGGCACTTGGGACGTGTTTTCCACATCAGGAGAGAGCAAATGACAGAGTCTACTCAACCCACCAGAACTAGTGAAAAGCGGTGCTCAATCAGCAAAAGATAAGTACATGCGTCTAATCCACCACGCACATCAAAAAACACTCCATCTGGGAAGAACCCCTCTCCCATTCACCTGCCTCCTCCCCGCTCTGCACCGGGTCCTGGGCCGGCTTCAGCAATTGCTGTGTCCCGTGGGCCAGAAGTAGGACCTGTCACGAGCCCTGAGGCATTCGCCCGGCTTTGGAGAGGAAACAAATTAACAAACAGGAAGAAATAATCTGCCAGCTCCCCTAAACTGGGAACTCAGGGCAGGCACAGCTCCTTTGCCTAGGCACAGGCATAAGGGCTCCACGGACTTTGAATGCCTTTCACCCCTGCATGGTTGTGGGCCCATTTCAACAGCGTAGGCTCTCATTACCACAGAACAACAGGGTATATACCTGAAGCCTAACTTCAGCTGTATCAGCTATATGGTAGAGTGGCAAGTTCGTGACGTTTGACATCTCTCTGCCCATTAAGCAGGGTCCTCACCTGCAACGTCAGGAGCCTGAGAACTCGTGGCTCCATCCATGCCACTTAGCCACCCACGACAGGGATCCAAGAATAAGTGGTACCTCCCAGTCTTTACAGCCAACAGCATTGGGTGCCCATAGTCCAGCTGCAAAACTCACCCACCTACGTGCTCTAGGGAACAAGGATATGCTTTCCTCCCAGACACTCAGGTGCAGCAGTCAGCCCCCTGCCTTGCTCAGTGTGTGACCCCCTACTGCAGCCAGATACCTGTGCCTACTCCAATCACCCTTTCCCATCTAGGACTGTAGGTGAGAGCCTGCACCACACACTTGGTGACCGACTGCCTGGACACCCGAGCTGAATCTACACAAGAAAAGTAAATGGATTCCTGGGTTCACATACCTGGTAACAGATCTAACCACGTGATGATAGGACATTAGAGCTTCAAAGGCACCAGTACTCAAACTAGCTTACACGAGCCGCTTGTTTGAGCATATCAAAACAAAACAAGAAGCTAGGACACAGTAAGTGAACATAAATAAATGTAATAACTTATTGATGGCTTGGAGACAACAGTTAAATCACACAAAGTGCCAGACCATGATGGCTTCAGCAAGCTCCCAAAACAAAGAATCAAGAAATTTTCTGGAGGAAAAGAATTTCTTGAAATTACCATAGATATAATACAAAAGATTAATATACGGAACTTTTCAAGACATCAGGAAGGAGATCATGCAAAATCCAGAACAAGCCAGGAAGCACACAGACAAAGCAATAGAGGAACTTAAGAAGATTATAGAAGAGCATAATGACAAATTAAACAGGCTACAAGAATCCATAGAGAGCCAACAGAAATCCAGAAGTTTAACAATAAAATTTCAGAATTAGACAACTCAGTAGAAAGTCAGAGGAACAGAATTGAGGCAGCGAAGTCAGAATAAGTGAGATTGAAGATAAAGCACTTGACACCAACTTATTTGAAGAAAAATCAGATAAAAGAATTTTTAAAAATAAAGAAACCCAAAGAATTATGTGCCCGGCCACCACCACTGACTGCTCTGACCAGGATCACAACAGAGGGTTCTGGACAGAGCTGGAGAAGGATGTAGAACAAAATTCTGACTCACAAAAAAAAAAAAGACCAGATTTACTGGCCTAAAGGAGACTGGAGAAACCCCGAGAGTATGGCCCCCAGACACCCTTTTAGCTCAGTGGTGAAGTCATCTCCGAGGTTCACCATTCAGCCTGGGAGTGGACAGGCCCATAAAACCAAATGGGACTAATGAGGCACAGCAGTCCAGGGACAAGGGCCAGAAGGCAGAAGGGGACAAGGAAGCTGGTGATAGGGAACCCAAGGTTGAGTAAGGATAGTGTTGATGTGTTGTGAGGTTGTTAACCATTGTCATAGGACAACATGTGTATTAACTGTTAAATGAGAAACTATTTTGTTCTGTAAGCCTTCATCTAAAGTGAGAATAGCAGCACAATTGGAAGAGTGTAGTCGATGTCACTGAACTGTGCATGTAGAAATTTTTGAAATGGTGTATCTTTGGCTGTGTATGTTTTCACCAAAAAAAAAAAAGGTCCAGAAGGGAGAGGGTTAACATGTTGTGGGGTTGTTAACCAATGTCATAAAACAATATGTGTACTAATGTTTCATGAGAAACTATTTGTTCTGTAAGCCTTCACCTGAAGTACAATTTTAAAAAAAATGAAGAAACCCAAAGAATCATGTGGGACTCTATCAAGAGGAATAACCTACAAGTGATTGGACTATCAGAATGGGGTGGGGGGTGGATAACAGAAAATACAGAGAGAATTGTTGAACATCTATTGGCAGAAAACTTCCTTGATCTCGTGAAAGATGAGAAGATATCTATCCAACATGCTCATCAAGCCCCACATAAGGTAGATCCCAAAAGAAAGTCACCAAGACATATTATAATCAAACTTGCCAAAACCAAAGATAAAGAGAATTTTAAGAGGGGCTAGGGATAAAGGAAAAGTCATCTACAGAGGAGCGTCAATATGACTAACCTCCGACTACTCCGCAGAAACCATGCAGGCAAGAGGGCAATGGGATGACATATATAAAGCCTTGAAGGAAAAAAATTGCCAGTTAAGAATTATATATCCAGCAAAACTCTCTCACATATCATGGCAAAATTACGGCATTTCCAGATGAACAAGTTCAGGGAATTTGCAAAAACCAAACCAAAATTGTAGGAAATACTAAAGGGAGTCCTCTGGTGAGAAAATCAATAACATCAGATAACAACCCAAGACTAGAACACAGGACAGAGCAACCAGATACCAACCCAGATAGGGAGTCACAAAAATAAATCAAAGCTAAAACATTGAAAATAGGGAAAAAGAGATGTCAATATGTAAAACATGACAATGTTAAAACAAAAAACAGGGACTAAAAAATGTAGTCATAGATTTTTCATATGAAGTCAAGGCGACATAAAGAAATAAAAGATTGGTTTAAACTTAGAAAAATATGGGTAAATATTAAGGAAACCACAACAGAAACTAACAGTCCTACACATCAAAATAAAAAACAAAACACTCAGTAAATACAAAATCAACAACAAGGAAAAAGATGAAAAGAAAGTACATAAAGAAAAACGACTCAGCATAGAAAA